AGAGAGGGAGAGAGAGAGAGAGAGAGAGAGAGAGAGAGAGAGAGAGAGAGAGAGAGAGAGAGAGAGATTAATGATGAGAAAGAATCATTGATCAGCTGCCTCCTGCACACCTCCTACTGGGGATCAAGCCAGGCATGTGCCCTGACTGGGAATCGAACCGTGACCTCCCGGTTCATAGGTCGATGCTCAGCCACTGGGCCATGCCAGCTGGGCCTTCTCCTCTGTTTCTATTCTTTTATGTCCCTTCAGAATATTTTGCTCTCTCTCACCTCAGGGCCCTTGCTTAGCTGCTGTCCCAGTCTTCACCCTTCCTTATCTTTACTATCTGAGCTTTAACATTATATCCTCAGGGAAGTCCTCCTGAAGCCTTAATTAGCTTAGATCTTTCTGAAGTTAAATCCTTCGGTGGGACCCTAAGGCTCTGCTGTTGTGACACACTCATCGCACAGCTAGTTTTTGTGAATATGGAAAACAAGGGTCACTCATAAGTATCACTTTAATTCGTGAGTGAATTCTCCCCAGAGGTCTGTTTCTTAGAAGGAAGTATCCCAGAACAGCATCAGTCAGTTGCACACATTGACGTATGAGCGTCTTCCTTCTACAGAAATTTGCAGTCAGTTACAAAACGTTCACGTACTGCCAACGTTTTGCACGTTGCCAAGAATGCTTGAGGCAGAAAAAGCAATCCTGTTGTCCCTTCAGCTCTCAAGTTTGGCCCCCTGCCCCTGGCACATACCCAGCGTGCTTACTCAGATGAACGTGCCCCCTTGGGACTGGGGAGTTTTGTTCTGTGACCCACCATAGGTGGCTTTGGAAAAGAAGCCATGTAGTGGCTTTTGTCCCTTCTGAATTTAGATTCTGTCACAGTCTTAATCTCTCCATTTGGTTTCAGAAATTGCTCCTTCAGTTTCCACCAGTCATTTAAGAGTCATGTCCTGCAATTTGTATCGCTGCCTGATGTGCCCCAGGTGATAAGTCCTGGGGAGGCTGCCCCACGGGCGTGGGTGTGGGTGGGTTTGTTCATGGAGCCTGGAGCCGCATTGGTAGCATGGTTTGTATGTTTGTCATTCTTTCTGGGACAGGCGGCAAATTTTTTCTGTTGATTTCCATGAATGCTGACTTCACTGAGCCATTTTACCTTTTTCAGTACCTTCCTTTCGTGGCTTGTGGCGAGTAGTTTTAGGACTGCCTTCTCCCCCCCCCCCCCACCCCCCCGATAGCTCCCAATGTCCTTACTGATATCATGTCATCTGGAATCCTGTGTGGCCACGGCCAGGTAGAGGAAAGCAGGTATTACCAGGTCTCTGCTCCAGATCGGGGCAGCGGAGTTCCGTGACCTGCCCACCTCCCTGAAGGCACAGGCGTTCCTTCCCCCGTGTCCTCTCTTGTTCTGTGTCCAGAGCCCACTGGCTTCCCTGGTTTAACAGTCACACTTTCCTATGAGTTTGTAGTTAGAGCTCAGGAGCTGAACCAAGGATGGGAAGACAGAAAAGCCACTGGCCACTGACCCTGGGGTAGCTCATGACTGTGATGTGGCTTTCCTTTTTGAAACCTTACAAGTTGCACATTTTATCTGCTTGTCCGTCCATCAAGAATGGAAAGTTTCTTCTCAGAACGGGCAGGCACAGAGCTGCTGTGAGCTTGGGCCCTGCTCCAGCCTTTCCGGGAGGCCTCCCGTCCTGGCATGTGGACAGGCCGCTGCTGATAGGAGGCAGGGTCGCTTCGTGCTGCATCACGCTGTGTGTGTATGTCTTTCCCTCCTTCTCTTCCTTCCCCCTCCTTCCTTTCGTTTCTCTTTTGTATGAAAATGCTTTCTCTAGCTGATTCACTGTCTGGGTTGGTAGTGAACTTTCAAAGCCCTCTTAGGCTGAGCTGCGGGACTGCACTGAACCAGAGGGTACAATGAGTAGGTTACCAGAGCTGGTTTAAAACAGGAGGCCGAGGGGGACACATTTTGCACTTGAAGACCCGTCCAATCTGGACTAAGTCCTTCTCCCTTTCCTTCTGGGGCTGCATCCCTCCCTGGAGGTAATCTCTTTAGAGTGCGCCCTATAGAAATACACACGCACACACAGAGGGAAACAAGGACGCACGCTTTGTGGTTGTTTGTAATTGTGAGGGCCTGAAAATAGCCTCAGCACTTGCACGCTAGTGGGAGAATACTGATGTTAATTACGTTGCCTCTGTGCAGGGAACATTACGCAGCCCTGAAAAACGGGACCATCTAGAGGTAGTGAGTGCAGTGGTGTCTATAACATACTAATCTGTGGGAAAAAGCCATGTTGGGTTACATATACATATTCTAGCTATTCAAACTTATCCATATCCATAGAAAAGCCTAAAAGAATGTACTCCAAACTGTTAACAGAAATTTACGGGAATGGGATTAGAGTGAAGGGGGAGTAGATGTTTTGCTGTTTTAGTTTATACACATTTGCAATATTTATTTTTCTATAAATAATCAGTTTTATAATTTTAAGGATAACAGTTATGGGGGTAAAGGAGTAAATGACATATTAATTTATTGTAATGGCTTTTTACCGGTAATTTTGGATTTCTGCTTGGGTTTTCTTTTACCTTATGAAGCTCTGAGGGGTCACTGGGGTCATTGAGTTACTGGTCTTGTTCTTAGCTGAATGCTGTTTATCTTTTAATTTTTAATTTTATTAATCCTCGCCCGAGGATATTTTTCCCATTGCTTTTTTGGAGTGAGTGGAAGGGAGGGAGGGAGGGAAACATTGTGTAGAGAGACACATCTATTGGATGGATTGGTTGCCTCCTGCAGGTGCCCCAACAGAAACTGGGAATCAAACCTGCAAACCCAGGACCGTTTGCTGCATGGGCTGATGCTGTAACCATTGAGACCCACTGGCCAGGGCGGGATGCTGTTTTTTTATTTTTATTGTATTATGTGAATTATTAGCCCTCTACACCTATTTTTCCCTCAGTGTCATTGGAAGAGTATTCTCTCACTGAAATATTAGCTGACTGTGGTACTAATTAAATTAATTCATCCATCCTTTAGAAGTGCAGAACTGTTCTGTAGGAGTCAACCTGCTAAGCCTGCGGTTCTCAACCTGTGGGTCGCGACCCCTTTGGGGGTCGAACGACCCTTTCACAGGGGTCGCCTAAGACCATCGGAAAACACATATATAATTACATATTTTTTTGTGATGAATCACTATGCTTTAATTATGTTCAGTTTGTAACAATGAAAATATATCCTGCATATCAGATATTTACATGATGATTCATAACAGTAGCAACATTACAGTTCTGAAGTAGCAACGAAAATAATTCTATGGTTGGGGGTCACCACAACATGAGGAACTGTATTAAAGGCTCGCGGCATGAGGAAGGTTGAGAACCACTGTGCTAAGCCATCAAGAGAAATCACCTTCTCAGTGACTCTGCTCACCAAGTTTATCTTCACCGTTCACAACCTAACTTCTCTAGTCATACTATGTCTCCCACTCGAAACAGATTTTCCTCTTGTAATTTGAGAAGGAAAAGAATAACTTTGTAAAGACATTTTTGGTTCTTACATTGAAACCTTGGTGATCTTCGTAAAATTAAATTTATGCACTTATCCTTTTATCAGTCGGATTTCTAGCCTACTGTCAGTTAATTCCTGAAATGCTAGGGCTGCAGCTTTTGTGATCTCTGATTTGAGTGAATCCAGGATTGGCAACACTTAGTCTCCTTGTGCACAGACTGCTTTGAAGTTGCTCCAAGATTCACTAAATCTTCTTCTGCATGTCTTTTTCTGCCCTGTATGGATTTTTCTAAGGATTATAGTCCTTTAAAAAAAATTTATCAGTCTTTACTCTGCTCCTTAAAATAATAAAATGTAGTCAGCTTGTTTTCAAGTGCTTTACTTTAATTGGCATTGCTTTGTTACCGGAGGAAGTGGAGATCTTGGGGTGCCTTGAGGAATGAATTTCCGGAGGCACCCACGGGAGAATGGGGTTTCATGGTCAGCTTTACTGATGATGTAAAACGAAGGGGGTTCCCCCTCCAAGGTCCCATCTCTGTCTGCCCCACCATGGAAAACATCCAGTGTTATCTTCAGCAGGGACAGAATTAAGGCCACTGCCCAGAATTTCTGCTCCATAATAAAGTCAAGTCCAGTCCAGCACCTGGCTAGCTTAGCTTGTGTTCCCAGCTGCAGTCCATTGTGTGTGGGGTCTGCATGGCCATGGGCCATGGGGCTGCTTAAGGCCACATGGTTATGGACAGAGAATGCCAACACACAGGCAAGTCTGGGTCACGGAGCAAGAGAGCTCCTTTGTCTGGGGTTTTAACCAGGAGCTTAACCAATTAACTCTCCAAGATTTTGCATGCTTCTCATGCGTTCCACCCCTAACCAATCCATTGTTCCCCAGGCTAGACTGACAGGCAAGCACCTCCCCTGTGCCACCCGGGCTTCTACTGCACTTGTGCCTGTATCTCCCCTGCTTCCCCCAACCACCCAGTACCTGATGGGGGAGGGGAGGGGCATTAATCCCCTTGGAGGAACCATGCCATTCGAAACTGTAGCTCCCAGGTGAAGCTGCCCAGTGCCTTGCTCTCAATGTCTGACTTCCCTTAGCTTTCTTCCCTTTATTAATATTAACTAGCAAATTCCGATGATAACACAGGCTCTGTTGACCGCCTGCCCATGTTTTCCTGGGGTGTGCCCAGGCTGGTCCTGGTGTCCAGGGCCCGTTTTGAGTCCCCACAACCAGCCAGATGCAGTGACTCCCCATTTCTCTTTTCCAGTGCAATCGCCTCTATCCTGCGGGCCTGGCTTGACCAATGTGGAGAGGACTTCCGAGAGCCCCCTCACTTCCCTTGCTTACAGAAACTGCTGGACTATCTCAAACGCATGATGCCAGGCTCTGACCCAGAGAGAAGAGCACAGAACCTTCTTGAGCAGTTTCACAAGCAGGAGGTGGAAGCGGACAGTGAGTACTGGTTTGGTCCCAGGGTTCTGATTCTGTAACCGCACGTTGAGGAAATGCGCTCCCTCCCCTTGTTGACTAGGAGACCGTGGCCTCCCTCTGAGGGACAGGCTGCTGGGGAATTGGTGGTGGGTGAAATCTCAAGGTCATCCAGGGCCTAATTCCAGAGCCCTAGAGTTTTAGAGCAAGGGGCTTCTCAAGACCACCTAGTCTGACGCCCTCGTTTTACAGGGGAGGAACTGGACTCAGAAGCGAAGTGATTTTCAGGGGTTTCTTCTAATGTCATAAAGAGGATGATCTCCTGTTACTGTGCCGAACCTGAATCTGCTCTCTATTATCTGCCCAATGGCTCCTCGTCCTCTCCAATGGAAACTCATCCCACACAACAGCCCCCCTTCAGCAGGCCAAGAAAGGCATCCAGTTCTGCCCCTGCCCTCCCAAAAGCTGGGAAGAGGTGTTTCTCCTTCCCCGAAAAGCATCGCTGTAGTTCATCTGCCCCCTGCCAGGGCAGATTCCCGTCATTCCGAGTCTCCAAAGGCCTCACCGGCGGGAGTTTCCGTGGCTGTTTTTTCCTATTTGAAGAATTGACTGCCTGTTTTCAAGGACAAAGGAAGAGCCACCACCGCAGGTCCTGGAACTATCAGGCATTGCAGAAAGCCAGAGAGAGATTAGGACGGGCTTTCAGCGTGATGTTTTCACCCCCACCGGCCTGCCAGGCGCTGGTTGCCATGACGCCTGACCCACTTGGAACTCCTGACAGGCATGTCCCAGAAGTGACTCCCGATTTCCTCAGTGGGTAAAGGAAACAGTTCTGTCACACCGATAAGGGACACGGCCTCAGCGCCAAAGAAAATACCCTTAAATCCCAAACGGTACCTGCACAACTTTTTCTGCTATGGAGGACCAGCGAGGGGGAAGCACAGTTGCATCATTGGAAGCTGCCTGCCAAGCGCTCCTATCTCAGATGACTTCATCTGCCGAGAATGTTTGAATGCCAGCGGTGCTCCTCCAGCCTGGACCTCAGGGCCTCCCCGCCTGCTTTGTGCGCAGTGGAAATGCTGGGTTAGAGCCCAGCTCTCCCTGGGGCTGCCCCTGGCTCCGGGCCTAATTGGGGAACCGGTGGGACCAGTCGTTCATTGTTCCTTCCAGGGACTGAAGGCAGAGCTCGCTGGCAGGCTTTGGGAAGGCTTGCAATAGCCCGGAATGACTTCTTTCTAAGTTTGGACATTTTTTTTTTTATCAAGAAAGCTCGAAACTGATGCTTAAGTACAGGAGCCATGACTGAGAAGGAGTTTTAGGAGCTTGGTTCCCATGCGCGTCTTTTACCCAATTTCATTCTGGCAAAAGCAACAACCTCTCCTAGGTGTGTTTCGCCTCTGCTGGAAAGTCAACAGCAAGCACTGTGGTCTGGGCCCGGAGAGAAAGGACCATGTCATCTCCGCAGCATCCAAGGCCCATGGCAGGCCCCTGGGAGTGTTGGGTGAACGAGAGGGAAGATGCGGCCTTACCGCGAACACCGCTTGGCGGAAGTGGGTCGGCCTCTGCATTGCAGTGGTGGAGACAGACTTACATAGTAGCTAGCAAGAGGGTTCGGGATTTCAAATGTCTTCTTCCTCCAGAGAATGAGAGAGCGCCAGGGCTGTGTGCAAGCCAAGCGGTGGAACCGGGGGTTTCAGCTTTCTTTAGCTCGTGCCTGTGTGTGTCCCAGGCTCCGGAAAAGGCATGACCCCCCTCTACTTTCTCCACGCATAACCCATCCCCACTCGCATCAGTGCCTTCAACTCTGGGGAGAGGGGTGGCCTTAAACCGCATACCTGTCATCAGAGCTGGCACCTCGATAAGGGAAGCAATGCAGGTTCAATCTCAGCACCCCTCTCCCCCGAGGAAACTAAGAAAAGGCCACCGCAGCTCGATCCCCGGGGCCCGGAAGTCTTTTATTCTACAAAGAAAGCAAGGAAAGGCTTAAAATGTAAACCTTTGGGGGAGTAGTGACACATTACATTTCTGCTAAGAGGTAACTGAATAGAGCTCTGGCTATTTTCCCTGGAGGACAGATTGAACAGAGAGGACAGCGAGGAGTGTGAAGAGGATGAGATGGGGAATCAGCTGGGAACTAGGAAAAGGTTCCAGGGAAAGGGGGGCTGGTTAGGCTTCATCCTGCCCCGTCTGCAGCATGGACCCCGGAGGTCCTGCTCCATGCGTGTGCCGAGTCCTCCAGGTGGGATTTGCAGTCCTAGGTAGTGATTGCAGTGACGTTTACTCACTCAGCCTGTGCCCTCCATGATGTGCTAAGTGATGATCTTACCTGTAATAAGGCTCAATGTGAATTTAGTTGTTGTTCTGTGTTTGTGTTTAAATCCCCGCTGGAGGATATGTTTTTATTGATTTTTAGAGAAAGGAGAAGGGAGAAAGAGAAACATTGATCGGTCACCCCCTGTATCTGCCCTGATAGGGGATCGAACCTACAGCCTGTTTTATGTGTCCTGTCCAGGGATCAAACCCCCAGCCGTTTGGTGTACAGGACAGTGTTCTAACCAACTGACCCACCCAGCCAGGGCTGAATTTAGTTTAAAAATACTTGTCATGCAAATTCCACTTGAGGTGGAAGCTGAAAGCTACTCCAAGCATTTTGAGAATTCTGAAGCCTTGTTGAGGCTTCTGAGGACTTTATCAGCATTTCTGACACCAAATTGGCCCATTTTACTCCCCAAAGCCTGACCTGCCTTCACATCCAGTCCTTCTAGGAAATTTAATATACTATTGCTTAGAACATGAGGTGGTTTGACCAAATTACTAAATTTAAAAAATAAAAAAATAAAAAAAAAATAAATGGCCCAGTAACTAAGAATGTCATATTGGGAATTCAGGAAGTAGTTGGGTTAGTCCTTGAGCTGACCAGAGAGTTTGAGGGAGCCTAGGATGAGGGTAAGCACCTCAGTGTAGCCCAGCTTTGCTTCTCTCTAGACTTTGCCTAACCCAGCTCAATCCGTGGCCCAGGAACCAGGCAGGGGTTAGTCAAAGGCAGAGGCCTCTAAACTTGATAAAGAATCAAAGAACAAGCAGAGATGGTGAAGACCTCCATTCATTCCACTCAGATATATTGTGCTTGCCCTTCTCTCCCTATGGGTTTACTGAAGGAATCACCCTTTCCTTCCTAAGAGAAAGATGTTCAGTTGGACTCCATAAACAAGGTCCTATACAGTCGCCCCAACTAACTAACTTTTTCAACATCTGTCAACAGATGGGTTTGCCAACACCATCTCCTGCCGCCTGGAAGAGGAAGAGGAACCGGAGGCCGGAGGGTCTGCAGAATTCACGTGCTTCTCAGAGGATCTTGTGGCAGAGCAGCTGACATATATGGATGCAGTAAGTCTTCTCTGAGCCTCAGATGTGCTTCTGCTTAACACCCAGCCGGGGTGGGGGTGGGGGTGCGTGTTGGTGATAGTACTGGTGGCCGGGAGGGCAGGGGGCAAGGTGATTTAAGTCTTTTCAAATCCTTGCGAGGCTGTGCCTGTAAATGCAGGAGAAAATGTGACCTGAGTCAATCATCTGAATAATTCAGGCCTAAGTTCTCCTTGCAGTTCTGGGTGAAGGTGCTTTTTCCTTGGCACTCAATACACAGAGGGAAACAAGAATTTTAATCCTAGTGAAACAAAATCTGCCCTGTCCCATGGGCATTTCTCTCCCCTTAAGCTCATAAATATTTCAAGTTCTGAACTGTTTATTTGGGGGATTGTAAAAGGGTCAAAGGGTAAGTTAGGATCACATAAATCCACCGAATCCACATGTGACTCTATCTGGCAGCTCATTTCCACATGTGCTTCTTGCCCCTTTGAAGTTTGCATATTTTTTTTTAGCTGCACATGTTTGATTACGTCAGCCACGTTTCGTAGCTCAATTTTAGCTGATAAATACCCGTGGAAGAAAAAAGGACTATTATGAATTACCACGATCGTCTGGGCTCTTCTGCATTTACCGCTTTGGGAAAAGCAGCATCAAAAGTTGCCGTTTCTATCTAGAGCACGCAAATAAACACAGATAGTCTGTGTAGTCAATCCTGGAGTTCGCACTCTTCATATAAACCCTGGACATCTCATATTGAATTGTTGTGCAAATGATAATCAATTTGTTCAACAAATTTGTGATTGTTCCTCTTGATAGCATAAGAGAAAGATGGGAAATGTCACTGGTTATGACTTTTAGGCAAAGACCTCAAAGCCAGGCTTCAAATCCTTCATTATCTCTTTAGTGTGTGACTGACATTGAATAGCTTTTCCCTTTATATGCTTCTTACCTTCTTCATTATAAATAATGTGAGATAGTGACCTTGATGCCTGTCGCATGTATTGTATTTGGTGGGTCACTTTTCAGGTGGTCGTTGAGCATTCATATGTATTATAGACAATTCATAATACATATAAATTATTGACTATTATTGCTTTCCCCAAAGTGGTAAGTGCAGAAGAGCCCAAACGATTGTGATAATTCATAATAGTCCATAATTCATGGTCATGAGTGCCCAGAAAACACCATGGATATGAATTTGAGGTCAAAATAATCTTTAAAAATTTTTTAATTAAAGTCAACATACAATATTATCATAGTTTCAGGTGTACAGCATAGCAATTAGACATTTATATAACTTACAAAGTGAGAGGTCAAACATAATCTTAAGCATAGATTTTTACTTGGCTTTCCTTCGAAGACAGAAAAGTTAAAATGATCTTGGGCATTTAGATTTTCTTTTGGTCATTGTGTTTCGTTTCTTCACTTGAGCAGATTTAGAAAGAACATGCGGGCTTTTCTGACCAGTTCATGGATTAATTATTCACTTTTGTCTATTGAGATGAACACCATGAGGCAAATCAAGTAGAAAAGGGCTATTTGTCCATTGAAAAAAATAGCAATTTACAGATGACCCAGATGACGTACTTTGCCACATGAAATGTCTGTGTTGTCCTTAAAGTCAATTCCTCTTTTGTTCTAGCAACTATTCAAGAAAGTAGTGCCTCACCACTGCCTGGGCTGCATTTGGTCTCAAAGGGATAAGAAGGAAAACAAACATTTGGCTCCTACGATCCGCGCGACCATCTCTCAATTTAATGCCCTCACCAAATGCGTGGTCAGCACCATCTTGGGGGGCAAAGAACTCAAAACCCAGCAGAGAGCCAGAATCATCGAGAAGTGGATTAACATTGCTCATGTAATTGTCTCTTTTTGAATATTCTTTGTGCTTCGTCGATATCGGGCTCTACTTCACCACTGTTTAAATGGTTTCCATCTGGTTGAAAGGCCATCGAAAGACTTTTCCATGTGAGAGCCCATTGGGTTTGTTATTGTTATTGTTCTGCGGAAGTAAGAAAGTTGTCTTTCTTAACTTGGGAGCTTATTTACTTTTCCTCCCTTTCCTGTTTTTCCTTGCTTCATTTTGCTCCTGGAGCCTCATGCTGCTGCTCCTTCAGGTTGAAACATTCTGCCCGCTTTTTCCTTCGTAGTCACAGGCTGTGGTTCTGTCCTGTGTTCAGTAAATATAAGCTAATAGTCTAAGTGTCAAACAGACTGCGCTTCAGCCAGAGTGATTACCCATGCACCCTACCTTTAGCAGATTTGAAGAGTCAGTACCTTCTCAGAATCCTGAATTTTTTTTCTAAAGGACTGAGATACACAGATTTCCCATTAATCCAGGGCTTTTCCGAGAGCCTTATCTCTGACGTTGGAGGGGCAGCGTCTATTCGTAGGCCTGAATTACATTTCACTTAAGGTCAGTCTGGTCTCTTGGATCAGCTGCTTACTAGTATATGCCATGTGACCTTCACTTATCATGATCTTATCTCATCATTGAGAAAAGGCAAACAGTATTGAGTCAGTTGGTCACCAAATATTTCACGAACTTCTGTGTATAAGCTAGTTTTATGTATTTTGGGGACATAGATGGGATAAGCACAATTAATTTGGCCTTACAGGAGTCTGTCTATAACAGGTCAAACAAGGAAGCTAAGATTGCTGGAGTGATCTCAGCCCAGGCAGGGGAGGAGCAGGGTGCTGGGAGATAAGAGCTGCAGGAGTGGACAGAGGAGAAATCCCTCTGACTGGAGCAATCGAGGAAGGCTTCCTGGATAGGGTGACATTTACATGTAGCTTGAATGATAGCTAGGACTTTCGATATTTGAAGATTGGGTAGTTTTTTGTTTTGTTTTTTTCTAGGAAGAAGTTATCTCAGTGAAAGCCATATAATTTACAATTTTGAAAAATAATTATTACGTAAATATCTCATTAGTTCGTGTTCTAGGCTATATGGATCACCCCTCAACAAAAACACATTTTTTTTATCCATATCTATCTATCTATCTATATCTATATCTATATCTATATCTATCTATATTTTTTTCCATTAAGCCATGGTCTATAGGGCATAATGCTTAAATTTTCACATGCTCTCTTTTTCACATTCTTTTTAGTTGTCTTGAATTAAAGAGCAGGGCCATCATTGCACCAGAGAATTGGCCTTATTTTGCATTTTTAGGTGGTCTGTTAGCACAGACATTTTAGTATATGAGAAAAATAAGATACAAAGAATATTTCATGCAATGTCGATTTTTCCTTTTCTGAATTGAGCTTATTTCTCAACAAGTAAGAGCTACAAAAAGAAGTTTTGATAGAGCATGATCAAGAGCATGGGATTGAGAGGATTTGTCTTCTTAGAATGGTAGGAAGTATTTTTGCCATAAATGCCATATCATTTGCAGTCTTCTACATGTCTCAAAAGAAAATAGTCTGTCTACCTTTAATCCATTCAGCTGCTTAGAAAATTTATAGCAAGAATACAGCATTTGTATATAAAACAGTGTGGCTCAAACAATGGCTTTTGGTCCAAATTAAATATAGACTGTGCATTTATGTGGTAATAAGAAATGCGAGTGGAATAATTTGAAGTATATTCCAGATTTCATGGTATTTCAAAGCCAAGGGTTCTTGTTCTTGGTGAAGCAGTTTCCTCATACTGAGCGCCTGTGTCCCTTGAACTTGTGTGGGCTCACTGAGAATAATGCAGCTCACAACTGGTTTCCTGCCAGGGTTTATTTTACTTTTTCTGCATTATAATCACAGTCAATTTCTACTGAGAGAGTGTTTGAAAACTGATGATTTTACACGCAGAGAAAATTTCTGACCAAATATGACTATATTTTCTTGGACGGGCCTCGCTGCTACATTTTTACTTTGGTGTCATATCTCCTGAAAGGATACCTCCTTTTCTAGAAATGGAGCCAGATGCCTTTTCTGCTCCTTCAAACCCTTGGCTTAAGCCTCTTTCTGAATAATGTGTTCCATATGTTTATTAGAATTTGCATGAAATATCTGTGCCTAAGTTCCTTTATTTATTACAAGTTTCCTGATTTTTAGAACATAATTTTGGATTCTGAACCTTCGTTGAACCAACCATGTTTGGTTTCCAAACGGACTGTAATTCAGCATTCTCTCTCTCTCTCTCTCTCTCTCTCTCTCTCTCTCTCTCTCTCTCTCTCTTCTCTCCCCCTCTCTCTCTCTCTCTCTCTCTCTCTTTCCCCTGCCCCTCCTTTCTCCCTCTCTCTCTTTAAATAAAGGGAAGGCATTCAGACATTTCAAAAGCGTGGGCATGACTTCTGTAAAGTATTTGGCATTTACTCTAAAGAAAATGTTTGAGGGATTGTTTGTTTGGCACGGTTTTAAGTAGCCAGATTTTGGCGTGCTAAATTAGAGAATGCTGTTTTTCCTTCATATTCAGGATTAGCATTACTTTGTGAAATGATCTTTTAAGCCGTGTGCATTTATGCCCAACCGCTCTGAGGCCTCTTCCCCAGATGTTCTGCACAAAGCCAAACCCATGCTCACGGCGGCCTGAACAGCCAACAGTGGATGGGACTTCAGGCGTAGCCCCCTCTCTCTGCGTGACCCCCTCCCCCTGCAGCCAGGCCTGGGACCCTCTCCCTGGCTGTCCTGCTGTCCCTGTCCCTGCCATTCATTCAGAGGAACTTGGACTTCACGGTCACTGGCTGCTGAGGCTATGGACTCCCTGTGGCAGCTTAAGTTTCGGAATCAGGGAGCCTTTCTCCTTCCCCACAAAATGACATCCAGAATGCTTCCTGTTCTCTTTCTATTTTGTTTTCAAGCGTTGCCAAAATGAATTTGATTTTAAAAGCCCAAGCTATTTTGGAAACATTGAAGTACCAAGGTGTTTCTGAATGTTTACGATTGTGGCACAAGCCAATTTGAAACGAAATGAATGTGTATAAAAATATTCCCTCTTGGCTAAGATCATAAAAGCCAAAGTTCAACTTGTGGTGAATTTTTATTGCCAAGTTATATACACCTCGCTGGGCGAGCGTTGGTCATGAGATGTTCGATACCGTCTGACCTTGAAGTGGCTGCTGGCCCGCTCGCTCTGTGGTTCTAAAGGATGCAGTGATCTTTCGTGTGTATTTTTAGGGCATCTGTGTGCTGTCAGCAGAAGTAAGTTTGCTTTCTCTAGCGTAGCTCTGCAGACTCACCTCCAGTCGTGTTTTTACTAGGAAAGCTGGAAACTATAAAACTGTAACAACAACACAAAAAATATATTAAAGGAGAGAAAAACAAGCATACAGTGCCAAAATCTATAAAGTGCTTCAGTGACTGGGGTGGGAGTAAGGAGCCACTTTTTGATGTTCAGTATTTATACAGCTGCCTATTTCGTGGTAAGAATTCAGAGCAGCTGTGATACCTCTAGAACGGGAAATGGCCAGCTCACTGTAGTATTGATATTTAAATGCCTTTTCTGTTCTAATCACTCTCCATGTAGGAATGTAGGATCCTGAAGAATTTCTCCTCCTTGAGGGCCATCGTCTCGGCACTGCAGTCCAATTCCATCTACCGGTTAAAAAAGACGTGGGCTGCTGTCCCGAAGTAAGTTCCCAAGTGTCTGCTCGACGTGTTTTGGCTGAGGGATGAGTTGCTGCCTAAATGGTGTGGGTCCTCACCTTCAATGCTCTTACTTGTAAAGAGAGAAACGTATTTGAAAGCCTTGAGCCCCTGTGTGCTCAAGGCAGGGTGCGCCTTACCCATGAACACTCATGAATTGGAGGCAGGGCCCCTGCAGAAGCCACTCTTGTTCTCACAGTGTGCCAGAGCCAAGCCCATGGCTGCAGGGGCCATTTTAGGGATGTGCTGCTGATGGTTGGATGTTGAGGGATGAGGATGTGGAGTAATAAAGTTACAGCCATTTGCCTTTTTTTTGTTGTTAATATATTTTTTATTGATTTCAGAGAGGAAGGGGGAGGGAGGGAGAGACAGAAACATCAATGATGAGAGAGAATCATTGATCACCTGCCTTCTGCACGCCCCCCTCCGCCCCCCAACTGGGGATCAAGCCTACAACCTGAGCGTGTGCCCTGACCGAAAATCGAACCGTGACCTGGTTCATAGGTTGACACTCAACCACTGAGCCACACCGGCTGGGCTGCCATTAGTTCTGGTTGTGTTTCAGCCTTACCCCAAAGCCCTAAGCTGATCCGAGATGTGAGGGGTAACGTGTGCAGCCAGGACTTTGTTCCTGTGGCTTCACCAAGACCCCATCCAGTTTCTGCTTTGGCATGTGAAGAGCTAGCTTAGTGATGTTCAGCACCTCTAACTTCCTTTCTGTTGTTTCCTTCCCCTTTCCTGCTGCGGCCTTTGGAATAATTAACAACTTAATGTAGAACTTTTTGCAGAGGAGAGAAGGGCGAGTGAGAAGGCAGTTCTGGCCCTGAGGCAGTACAGGCGGAGAGGCTGGGGGATGTGTCCTGGCTGCAGACTAGGCCAGCTACATACCACAGGTCTGCCTAGGTTTGAGCTAATCAAGAAGTCGGGCTGTATGGGAAGAATGTGTAAACTGTTTATAGTCTATACTGTATGCAGTATAGTCCATTTCAGGCAGGAGAGAGGCCAGCTGGCTCCCTAGCAGGCTCGCTCTTGTGGAATTGGTGGTTTGGTCCTTAGAGTAGGTCCAGCACTGACTTTCATCCATTCTCTCAGAGCTGATTAAGCCCAAAGGGACAGACACACTCCAAACTGCAGGAACCCCAGATTGGTACAACAGAGTTTCCTAGATTTACGCTAAAAAGTGAGTGCCAGGGATCTCAAGGTTATTGATGAGCTCATAGTCCTAGTCGGAGGAGACTCTGCTTGGGAGAATTACATTATTTATTACATAATTCTCTGATGGGTAAAGGGGGAAACATTGAAATGGATGATCTTAATGCCTGGCATTGCAGAGCTGTGGAAGCTACCACCACTTGGACCCCAAAGCTCACGCTCTGTTTATGATGCCGTTATCTAGCAGGCAGGCTTTTCCAAGTCCAGAGCAACTTTCTTAATTACCACTCTGCACGTGGGTTCTTTCTCCTCTTCATTAGTTTGAATAATCAAGGTGACTCTGTGTGAAAGGGAGATTAGTTGATTGATTTTCCTCTGCACATACATGTTCTGAAAGGTATGGGTCCTATAAAATTGTTAGATAATAAGCCCTGGGGAAATAGATGGGAAAGTCAGCTGTGTCCAGCGTCCTCATCCTCAACACCCCCAACTCCGACTCCTTCTCCTTATCACTGCTCCCCAACTGTGGTGTCAAAATCAAATTCATGGGCATGTGCTAAAATGCAGCCTTGCCTGATTGCAGCCTTCTCCGATTGCAGTCAAGGGTAATCCTATCTTTCTGTGGAGGGTGATAAATTGACCACTATGAAAAGCCACTTAGTGAGCCAGAGACTTCTTCCACAGCAAATCTGAGGCTAAAACACAAGTCAGGAAATCAGTGGGCTTGTATCCTAATCTCCCTGGTTCATATGAGAAAGTCCATTCTCCCAGCTGGCTTCATTAACTATTCAAAGAACACACCACAAAATCGGCCTCAGAGATGCATTCTGCACAGCGTGGGGGTCTGGTTTGTGTCGTAGTTGGATGGTTGGTTCACGTTTGAGCAGGGATGCTGCAGAAGTGTCACAGCTCCTCAGAGAAGACACTTCTGTTATCAGCCTTACATATTTTCCGTTGCTAAATTCAAGTGACAGGGTTAAGATAGCTTACGGGTTATCATTTCCCTGTAACCTTTTATGCTAATAACTTTCAGTGGACAAAGAAGATGTCTACTTATTTCTCTTTATTTAGCCTGACATGTAATCAATTTCTTAATTGTTTTTCCAAAATATAAGTAGCTTTCATGGTTTTCTTAATTATGAGAGCAATATTATATGCGTGAAATAAGTAAGTTCTTAAGAATGGCTTTCTCGTGATAATGAAAATGCTGCATGTGGAATGGAATTGCCCCTGTTAATCCTTTGCTGTCAGAATTATCCACTCGGTAACCCTGGAGGGGTGCGTGGATGAAAGCACGAGGCCCATGGAGACGTAGTGAGCAAAAAAGAACCAGGACAGAGCAGGCTCTTGACATGTGTGATTCTGCTGGCTTTCACAGCAGCCCTGCAGGCGACTGTTGGTATTTCCATTGCCCAGATAAGAAAATTGAAGCTCAGAAAAGAGAAGCAACTTGTCCAGAATCACGTGACGAGAAAGTGGCGGAGTTGGGATTTGAACCCACTCCTCGGACTCCCAAGTCCGTCTTGATCCCGTCCTCTCTTCTGAGTCTATGATTCAGGAGACCCGGGTTCTGTCCCTGCACCGCTCAGCAGTCACTAGTGGAAACTTGGGCCCATCCCTGACCCCGACGTCTCCATCTCGGAAGTGAGGGGACCGGCCAAGACAGTTTCTCAGGTCCGTGGGGCCGTGTGTGTTGTCAAGATAGATTTTTTTTCCTGAAGAGAACATGTCCCAGTTGAACAATGTAATTCCCCAATTTAACAATATTTTTATGATTATAAAACACATGGTTAGAAAATATTCCTCTCTTCACACAAGTGATCATATCTATTAAAAAAAAAAAAGAGCCACCCTGCATGGAAGAAGTCATTGTTTCATCTGCTCACATCACTCACTGACCCTGAGATCAGTGTGATCCCTCTGTAGCTATAGGTGCTGGGAACAGCTGGACTGAAGGTATGGGTTTTCCTAACTTCATTTGTTCATATTTTCTTGATCCCTCTTACAGAGAGCGAATGCTAATGTTTGAAGAACTTTCCGATATCTTCTCGGACCATAATAATCATTTGACCAGCCGGGAACTGCTGATGAAGGTGAGGCACTGGGTACAGGTGGCACTCTTGACTCTGGAATCCATTCAAGGGAACGATGGCTTGCAGCGGGTGCGAGGGCTCCTTAAATTCCTGCAGTCTGAGAAAGCCTCAAGCGACTAGAGGCAGACTTTCTGTTTTTTTTTAATGCCTAATCTAAGAAACTTGGGGCTGAGAAATTCCGAAGTCCAGCTTCTTGGCTTCACTGTTACGCAACCAGATTGTGAAACTTGTGCTTGTGTGCGCCCCTCTTTAACGAGCTGCTCCGCAAATACCAAGCGCTGGCACTTAGGTGGGTAAGAGGCCCTGGAATATTTCTTCTCAGCAAAACATCTCCTAGAATGACAGAGGCCGAGCCAGCAATTCCACATCCTTTATTTGGACTCCGTTGCACAATCTGTCAGTCAGCAATATTTATTGAACTCCAGATGATGCTGACTGGTGAACCCCGGGGGGCGAGGTACAGGTAGAGCGTGCTGCATTTTACTGTTCCGGACACTGGTTGCATACCTAATATTTGTAAAGCACTGGGCCAGCCTCTAGAGCAGTGGTTCTCAACCTTCTGGCCCTTTAAATACAGTTCCTCATGTTGTGACCCAACCATAAAATTATTTTCGTTGCTACTTCATAACTGTAATGTTGCTACTGTTATGAAACATAATGTAAATATCTGATATGCAGGATGGTCTTAGGCGACCTCTGTGAAAGGGTCGTTCGACCGCCAAAGGGGTCGCGACCCACAGGTTGAGAACCGCTGCTCTAGAGGTATGAAGGTGGCTAACAGATCCTGTTTTCAAGAGTTCACCTTCCAGTTGGTAGATAAAGACACTAAATGAGAATAAGTCCAAGGTGCACATGACAGGCTGTGAACATTCATCAGAGGTGAACATAGAGCAGAAGCCACCTTCATAGCCTTTCTATAAAGCAGCTCTTATGATCCTCATTTTGCAGGTAGCCAAGAGTCAGATAAGTAACATGCCCTAAGTCACACATGTGGTAGGCGGTGGAGCTAGATGTGGATATAACCTGGTGAGACTCTAAAACCTGCCTTTATCACTGAGGCGTAAAACTGTCTCTTCTGACCCCTTGGGAGTAGGGGACAGGGTAGATTGGGGACAGCTTGATAGAGAAGGTAAGTCAGCGGCTCAACAGATATTGATTGAGTGTTCACTATGTAGTGGGTATTGGAGGAACAACCATATCGAAGGCAGTCTCTGATTTTAAGGAGATGACAGTCTCATGGGGGAGGGAGAGGAGTGGACAGTTACAAAAGAGCAGGAGATGTGCCACCCTAGGGGAGCCCTGAACTGGGCAACTGGAGGGTAGGATCCTTGTCCTTACTCTACTTTCCATCAATTGGAGACAATAATAGCATTTAGTCTACTGACCTCATGGAAGGGTTTTGAAGATTGACTAAGATAAAATATTTGAAAGCCCTATGCAGATGTAAGTTATTTTTAGCATTTGGCAAGCTATATACACATGGAACCAAAGTATGCATGACACATGAAAATGAATGAAGTATAAGTTGCATATGTGACCTTGGGCAGACACTTGGAATAGGAGTGAAAGTCAAGTGGAGGTGGGGTGACTAAGAAAAGGCGTCTAGTTGATAATTGTTAGATCAGTCCTTCCTCCAAGGGCATCTGTTAATGGTCTTTCTGATTGTTCTCCTTCTAAGTCCTACTCATCCTTCATGTTGGAGTGTACACTCTGCTCCTGGGAGCCCTACTGGACACCCTCAGGCCTGGCTAGGTTCCTTGCATGTGCTCCAGAGGAAGCCCACCATCCTCTGACCTAGCGCTTCTCATATGTCCCGTTGGCATTGCCTGTGTACTTCGCCTGTCTCCCTACTGGCCTGCGAGCCTGTTTCAGTCAGGGACTGGGTTTCTCTCTTTCACTGGTACATCTCTGATGCCCAACACAGTGCCTGGCATGTAGCAAGTGTTTGACTGCATGAATTGATGGGTCTTATAATTCACCTGACTTTAATATCTTGCCTACTATCAGCCTTTCTTGGAGAAGACGGTGTGAGCAGGGTAGTTTGTGCTGATGCCTGACTCTGGAATTGGCCTACCTGCTCAACTGCACTCTGTACAATGATCGCTGAGATCACATTGCTACTCCCTGTTCCGCATCCCCCTGGGTTTGCAGACTTTAAATGGAAACTCATCTGGCTGGAAGGAGATGGCTTAGTGGTCTTCCAGTCAGTAACAGAAAGCTAGACCCACTGGAGCCACACATTCAAATCGCAAGAGCTCTGAGTCATCCTTGCAAAGTAGATAAATTGAATAGTGTGCAGCTCATTGCCTGGTGACAGTCTTCTGGCTGAAACCTTAGAAGCAAAGCTATCTCTAGACATTAAAGGTCTCATAAACCTTTCTTAACAGTAGAAGTTTACCTTAGTGCTCTAAGTGAAATTTCTTATGTAAGGCCCCACTCCCAAAGAAATGAAAAACTTGGCTATGAACTCGTAGTCTGTGCATTATCATTAATGATAGAGGACTGTTGGGGCCAGTGCATATGTACACGTAGGTCTCTTTCCAGTCATTTTTGTTCATCATTCTTTACTACAAAATATATAATTCTGGGTGTTAATTCTCAGCACAGTTGTGAAAATGAAATCAAGGTATTAGGTTCTCAAAAGAACCACCTGGACTTAGACTGATATGTGGTTGCGTAATCTTAGTCTTAAATGGCCTCTCTTCTCTTCTACTTCTGGATAGATGTAATGACTGAGGGAACATAATAATCAGCAAGAATCTATGGTTTTCCTTTTGTTGGGAAAAAATGTTTTTATCTTCCTCGAAAATTATCTTAAACCTGTTACCTCCTTATGGTTTCTAGAACTTAGATAATTCTAAGCAGGTAAGTTACAGAATCTGCAAATTTCACAACCACAGGGAAGTAGAACATCACAAATCTCCCTGGCTCTTGGGACTCGTAGTGAGAATTCTTCCCAGTTGAATTGACACCAATAACTTCCAGGGAGGCCTAAGAATCTGGCTCTGGTACAGATGTACTGTTCAGTGAAGCATCCAAACACACATTCAGAGTTGGAGCAGGAAATTGCGAGGACTGTGAAGACCTACTCAAATAATTACAATTAGCTTTCAAGCTACAATTTAATCTACATTTATTGAGAAGGATCCCATGCCTGTGTATCTCCCGAATAGAAGAGGCCCCTCTCAGACCAGGAACAGGCTGAGTGAGGGCAGCTGAACTCTGCTAAAGACGGAGAGAGAAGGTGAGACTCAGGTGAGGAATCTGCACTAGCGAGAGGGAAAGATGAGAGTGTTGAGTATTGGGAGGCTTACGGAGGGAGAGATTTGGAATCTATCCCAAAATAGGTGATGATTAAGGTCTTGGGCCTGGATAGTATTTGCAAAGACATGAGTATAGTGAAAAACAGGAAGATGACTTTGATAGAAGAATTTCTGAGATAGTGTGAGCAAGAGCAGAGAAGAGGCAGAAGGGAAGACCCTGAGTGATGTAATCACCAAACCTGTCTAAAGCTTCGAGAAGTGTGGAGGGATTGGTGTTGTGAGACGTTGTAGAGCAGAGGATGTAAGGCTTCAGAAGAAAGAAACTGAAACTGTGGGGATGTGGCAACTAGTGGACTTTCCATGGACACCCCATTTGGAGGAACTGCAGTAGCCGACCATCCAGCAGTGATGGACTCTCCTCACGAAGTCATCAAGTCAGTGGTCTCCTGGCTCCCACCTCAGGGCTTTGCCTCTCCTCCAATGAGCAGGTTGTCCTAGTGCATTGTCAAGGTCCCTCCCTTCTCCGTTATTCTCTGATTCTCAGGAGCCTGTTAACTGTTCCAACGCCCTTCGTAAGAACTTTAGGTATATCTGCAATAATTTCCATACATATGCCTCTGCTGACGGTTAAGAAAGTGGAAGGGAGCCAGAAGGACTGACACACTGGTAGAGATGGACACTCGTATTAAAGTCAGAAGGAATGGATTTCTTACTCCAAGAAAATTCTCAAGAATTTGAGAGGACTCACAACCTCCTAGCACAGGAAATGGCACATGTTAGCCCCTTTCATTCACCCCCAGGAAAAACTGTAAGTAGGAGATTATTAAATGGTAATGCTCTTGATGATCCTCTGTCACAGGGAGAATTAAAATGGACAGTCAGTCACTATGGGTTCTGTCCCTAGCAGTGTCCCTGGACCTGAGTTAAGGGTTGTGAGTGATAGAAGAAGGTAACTGACACCTCCCTGCCATGGGGAAGGCCAAGTCACCGAGGAAGACCCTTAGCAGCCGCACGGTAGTGAAAGGTCACATGCTATGAAAACGTCATGAACCCCGGCAAACTGACTAAGGGAAAACTAAAGTAGAGGTTATACGCAACTGAACTGTGCAATTTGCCTCCCATTCATACAGTTCCTGGAAAATGAGAACTTAACAAGACTGAAACCACAAAACGGAAAACACTTTATGTTCAGTCAGCAAACTCAAGATTAGTCATTATGTAGAAGAGTTTAAAAGAGTTTGTTGTTACAACAGACGGGAGGAGGGAAGGGACAGTCATCTGTCCTCAGGCGCCCAGAGGAAGGATTGATGTGTAAGAGTTCTAACCTGAGAGGCAACTTGAGAGGTTTGACTGGGAGAGGAAATGGGGGGACGTGTATGAAGTCCTGGCCTTCACAGATTCGCGCTGTGCCCAGTACTGGACTTCCTCAAAGAACTTCCGGCACAAAAGTTTCACTTGGCTAAGAAATACCACAGAAATAGTCCCTTTTCTTTCACAGAATGCTGGCCAGTGCATTTCAGGCCAAGAGCGAGAAACCACACAATGTCCAGGGGAAGAGATCTTCATTTCCAGGCCATGTGATGACTGAGTGAAATCTGGGATGTGTAAAAACTTGTCTCCACTTCCAGGAATTGCCTGTCTTATATTGACGATTGATTTTATACCAAACCAGGGCTCTTATTACCATGTAGGGGGGTACAGGATAATCCAAGGCCCCCAGGTCAAGAGCGAGAAACCACACAATGTCCAGGGGAAGAGATCTTCATTTCCAGGCCATGTGATGACTGAGTGAAATCTGGGATGTGTAAAAACTTGTCTCCACTTCCAGGAATTGCCTGTCTTATATTGACGATTGATTTTATACCAAACCAGGGCTCTTATTACCATGTACGGGGGTACAGGATAATCCAAGGCCCTCAGGTCTTTCTACAAATAGACCACTTGCAACCAGCCAGCGTGGATTTGCCTAATTCAGCCCGAGCCCACTGCAGGCCTCTCCATTTTGCCTGCCACCCAGACAGTTGTGGCCACTAGGCGCCACTTCACTTCTTTCCAGGGTCCTTCTCCATCACTCTCCTCTGTGTGTGCTTCTCTTTCAGGAAGGAACCTCCAAGTTTGCCAACCTGGACAGCAGCGTGAAAGAAAACCAGAAGCGGACGCAGCGGCGGCTCCAGCTGCAGAAGGACATGGTACGTGCACCTGGTCCTTCCCGAGGCCCACGGGAGAACCGCCTGGGTGGGGAGCAGCCCCCGCATGCCACCAGCACCTTCATCTGCAGGGGCCCAGGCTTTCGTGAGCATCTCCCACTCCCTGCCCGTTCGCTCTCAGTAACTAACCCTGGGGATCTGCAGGAAAGGAACAGTGTTATTACTCCCATTGGACCCAGCAGGAAGTAAACACCCCCTCCAGTCAGTTCCCAGCTCTCCTAACCCCAAGGGCCAGCCAAACCTTTCTCGTTTTCAGTACTCAGAGGCGTGCTGGACCTCCCTCCTTAAGACTGAAGGATAGTTATTATCATCTTTAGCTTTACTTAAAAAGCTGCCCTAACGATAAGCATAGAAGAGGGAAAGCAGAGAGAGGAGACTAGAGACGGACAACTCTGATATTCTCCTCCTGTTTACAGAGGACTTCCCTTTGGAAAGCTGCACATAAGTCGGGAACGTTCTTGAATGATAGGGCTCTGCTGTAACCTAAAGCCGTACAGATTTACAACATTTCCAACTCTTCAGTTGTTCAAAGACAAGTTAAAAATAGCTGTTAAAAAAAGAAGAGTATTTTGGTCCAGGATGAGACCTTGAGTGCTTAATGGGGAGGACGAGCTGCTGCTGGCGGAGGCCCTGAAGGACGGGCCCCCCTTGGCGTGACCCTCACCAGACGCTCTGGCTGAGGAAGCAGCCACCTCGCGCGTGCAGCCTGCCCTGTCCTGGCTGAGCCTCGGGGGTTTCTTTTGGCCAGAATTTCCGTAAGTGCCGCAGTGGAACCTTGAAGGTGTCCGTGGAAGTACCCTTTTATTTTATTTTCAACATCATTAGTGCTTTGGTGCCTTATGGAGAACAGAGATGATTTCAAAGGAAACTTGGTGAAATTAATCTAGTATATACCTGCAGTTGAAGTATTTCTACCTGATTGCCAAGGGCCATTTTTTATTTTTTTTATTTTGGAATTTACAGAGAAGTTCCAGGTAGTGCCTGAGTTTCTGTGAACTCTCACCCAGTTTCCTTTCGTGGACATCTTCCGTGACCATGCACACCTGTCATCCTGAGACACGGGCCCTGGCAGGCCCCTGCTGCCTACAGGGCAGACCTGCCTTGCTTCTCAGCACTTTTCCATTAGTGTCCTCTTTCTGTTCCAGGGTCCAGCCCAGCATACCCACCTCGTTCAGTTGTCATGTCTCCCAATCTCCTCCGGTCTGTGCCAGTTTCTCAGTCTTGCCTTGTTTTTCATGACCTTGACAATCTTAAGGAACACTATCCTGGTGCCCTTAGAACAGTGGTTCTCAACCTTCTGGCCCTTTAAATACAGTTCCTCATATTGTGACCCAACCATAAAATTATTTTTGTTGCTACTTCATAACTGTAATGTTACTACTGTTAATGAATCATAATGTAAATATCTGATATGCAGGTTGGTCTTAGGCGACCCCTTTGAAAGGGTCGTTCGGCCATCAAAGGGGTCGCGACCCACAGGTTGAGAACCGATGCATTAGAATGTCCCACAATCAGAGTGAGTGAGTCTGACCCAACCATAAAATTATTTTTGTTGCTACTTCATAACTGTAATGTTACTACTGTTAATGAATCATAATGTAAATATCTGATATGCAGGTTGGTCTTAGGCGACCCCTTTGAAAGGGTCGTTCGACCATCAAAGGGGTCGCGACCCACAGGTTGAGAACTGCTGCCTTAGAATGTCCCACAATCAGAGTGAGTGAGTTTGTTGTCTTCCTAGTGACTAGACTGAAGTTATGGGTTTGGGGGAAGACTGTCACAGGGTGAAGTGCCATTTTCATCACATTCTGGCAAGGAGCGAGTGACATGACATCAGGGTGACACCTGGTGTCACTCGTGATATTACTCTTCATGCCTTGATTCATGTCGAGTTTGCCAGGTGTTCCCCTTTAAGGTTACTCCTTCTCCCTCTCCCTCCTATGCTTTGGAAGTGAGTCATGAAGTCTAGACCAAGGGGCCATTGTAGCAGTGGCATCTCACCCCCTTGTGGTGCACACTCTTCTCCTGTGTGCAGCCGACGCCCCCTCACCGATGATGAGGACATCCCTCTCCAGGCCATTCCAAACCACTCGAGTGTCCACTCCTCCAAAAGAGAAGAGACGTCTCTGGCCTGAGCCTGGGCAACATATAAGCCCCCTGTGGGCACTCTTATCTGGTCTCCTGGCTTTGAGGCTCAGTTTTCAAAACTTTGAAAGTCAGATATCAGATGATGGACTTCTTGTCCTATTCGTGTAGGAATTTTCAACAATTCGTTCATGGAATTAGTACCGATGGCCCCAAATTAGGCCCTGAATGGCTCTGAATTAAACTTGTCAAGGTTTACCTGGCCATTCAAAGATTGCTGCTTCCTTCTGCGAATGGGCACGTTGCTAAACGTAGCCCACAGCAGGTCCATTTGCCCCAGCGTGGAGGTTATTGAAACCCATAAGCTTGTCAGTAACAGCCAAGACAGTTTCGTTGTGCTTCCTCCTCAGGGGCTGATGCAGGGCACTGTGCCCTACCTGGGCACCTTCCTGACTGACCTGACCATGCTCGACACCGCTCTCCAGGACTACATCGAGGTGAGTTCTGTGCAGGTGGCGTCGTGGCACCTGCAGCCTTCTCACTGGATACCCAAGAGAGAAATTCACCTTTGTTAGTATCTATTGACGGCCCATTGTGTCTGTGGCACTGTGCTAGATGCTATGAAGAATACAAAGATGAGTAACCAGAAGTGGCTCACAATCCCATGGAAAGAAGATGTCAGAGCTGGTGGGGTTGATAGAAAATTAAGAATTCAAACAGATGCGGTTTGGTAAGAGGGGAGGTCATGATTAGTTCCATGTGAGAAAAGAGATGGCAATACCTTAGGAAGGAACGAGTTTGAGCAAGAACTTGATGTTGAGTTGAGTTTTGGGAGGGGGTAGTATGCCCTAACATTCCATCCTATCTGGTGGGGTAGGGAGTCAAGTTTGTGGATTTTTCAGTATTCCATTTTTTTCCTTATTATTGTCTGCTTTGAGACAGCCACACTTGGGCACACGTGCTCTCTCTCTCTCTCGATAGGAAAAGAGCTGGACCCAGTCAAATAAGCTACTTTTTATAACTATTAAAATATTAAGTGGAGAATAAGTTTGATATTGAAATGAAAGTGAAGGTTATGTTTGCGTTCATCTCTCCCCCGTGGTTATCACATGTAATCCGTCTTTATTAGAAGGAGTGGCAGTAAGTTTGTACACACCTGCCTCCAAGTTCACGTGAATGCTGTGGACATGCTCGTCCCTGCTGCCTTGCCTATGTCTCTTTACATCCTCTGCCTCAGCTTATCTCAGGAAACACTCAGCAGTGTTGGGGAATGGGGGGAGTGACAGTGATTTAGAGGTTAAGTTCAGCCTCCTGAGAATAGGAGCTGGGGTTGAAGAACTGAAACTTAACTTTTCATGATGCTTCGTAGAAGAGACTTCCCTTTTGATAAACCATTGACAAGTTGGTTCCTCGTATGAGTCAAGGACCATCTGTTTTTGTTACTTTTGGTTAAAAAAAGAAGTGTAATGGAACATTTACTCAAGCTCTTGCCCTTCCTGGTTCTGCAAATGTATTTGGATTCTGAATTGTAATTCCTCAATATTACTGTTTTAGTTGTGTAAGAGAAGGCTGTTTGCCTATCCTGTCCTATTATAATTAAAAGAATGTTGAAGCAAACAATGCTTTCTTCCCTCCATAGTAGCCATATTACAGTGTTATTAATATTTATGACTTTATTTTAATCTTAATTAAAACCTTCAATTGGTTTTAATAAGGCCTAGAACAACACAGGACTTGGCTGTGTTTCAAAGTTTGGTTTGTCACACACTCTCTCTCTCTTAATTCCTTTCAGGGTGGGCTGATCAACTTTGAGAAAAGGAGACGGGTAAGTAGAGATCTTGATTTTCCATGTGACTTATCTGGGATGACAAAATGAAAGAAGTGGGGACTTACATTTTTTGGTAGAGGCAGAAAAAATGAATTAGCATTTATTGATCATTTGTCATACTCATGCACGTGTGGTGGCCCAGGACCAGCATGCGCCCATACATTATCCCTCAAGAGCCCCGTGAGGTAGATTTCTCATCCTCAATTCACAGGTGAGGAGACCAGGACTGAGCGAGATGGAGTCACGTGGCCAGAGTCACCCGGTGGCAGAGCTAGGCTCACATCCTGCCCAGCCACTGCAGAGCCCGCCCTTCTCTCCTTACACCTCCTCCCCCTTCTTCACAATCCGCTTCAGTAATAACGGGTTCCTCTTCTTCTGGGTTTCCTAAGAGTAAATGACATAGAAGAATTAATAAAGATGGTTAACTCTTCTGGGTCTATTTGAGAGAGGAAAGGAGAGGGTCTCACTGTTATTTGAAGAATTATTCTTTTTCTTTCCTGTCAGCAGAGGAAAGGATATTCAACATAAATTTTAATTTTTTGTGTGGACAGTAGAATAATTCTGCATGGCACTTAAAAAAAAAGATAAAACAAAGCTTAGAAAATTTGGCTTTGGTGTTGACATGCTGTAGTTAAATAGGTATTTAAAAGATTCAAAGGAAAACAAGTGGGAAAAAGAAAAACTTCACCCCAGAGGACTCTTACTGTTCTTTAGTCATTCATTCCTCTTTGATGCCACGAATATTGATTGCATACCTACCATGGGTCAGGCGCTGTGACAGGTGTGGGTATTGCAGCAGAAAACACATAAAAACACAGAGCTCACTAGCCTCGGAAAGCCCGCAATCCAGGAGGAAGGTGAACACATAAGGAGGCAATTGTAAGGCGACCTGCTGAAGGGCTTGTGAGCAGAAGGAGGGGCATCTATCCCCCAGCTCGTGGGGTCAGAGAAATTTTCAGAAGCCAATGACCTTGAAGTTAAAACCAGAACTTCAGGAGCTAAGCAAGCTGAGTTCACTGGTAACAAGATCCACTAACCTAGACAGATGTAAGACTTCTGTCCTTGGTAGAGTATGCTTTCTTCTGTAGCCAACGATGAATGTTGCCTGAGGGTACTGAGACCAAGGGCGGAGGTCATTGGATGGGAAACTGACACCATAGACGGCCAGCTGTTGGTTACCCCTGTCATGTCCTGTAAGGACAGAAGACATTGTTACCTTGTTACCCATCTTTGTCCTTTAACTTCA